AAATAATATGATTTTATTTGAAAAGAAATTAGAATTGTTTATAGTGTTAATCTTATGAACATTAATAATTTCCATTTAAGAGAGCCAAACATCATTAATGTAATGTAATGTTTTAGGTAAATTACGATTTGGTCCTGAGCTTAACTTAATTTAAAAATCAACAGCAAGTGAACATCTTAAAATTATTAAACCTTAGTTTCAAACGAATTGCAAATCTAGTATTTTTACTAAAAGTAATTTTAAAAGTTATTATTTCAGCATTTTTTGTAAATGCAAGCGGTCACACCTCATCTAAACAACAACCACCTCAAACAACAACACAAAAAAGGTCTAAGAAATTGCAACTGAAGATAAGACAAAAGCACAATATTTTACTCAAAATATAAAAATTGCAATAGACACCTTTGCCTGAGCACTCAGTGGCAACAGAACGCACAAAGAATTAACTTCTGTACGTGGATAACGTGCCACCCATCCCCACGATTAACAAAAGAAGTGCAAGCACAAGCATGTCCGTCATTGATTTTATAAAGGGCTTACCCATATACGACTCGAACAACTTCACACTGCTGAGCAATGACCACGGCATTAGAACATCGCAAAAGCGTGCCTCCGTTTATTTGCCCACAGAGGATACGCCTGACCAGGCGCAGCTAATAGTGTTGGATAAAAGGTGCGTACTTCTGAGATATCTAACGCAACAGTGGGACAAAAAGACACTCCAGCGAAAGCGCGAACATGGCAACGACGGCAGCAGTAACAACACCAACAACTCTACAAATGGCAACAACAGCAAAAAGCGCCCACGCCTGGAGGCCAATGAGCTCAACTGAGACACTCCCGATTCTTATTAAGTACAGCTACTACCGTTAATATAAATATCCCCAAGCATATAATAAATATTATAAAACATAAATAACTGAATTCGCATTAATTTTGACTTCCTTCTGTTTATTCCACTTGATGACTTCAGTTTGTCCATTAGTATTTTTAATTCGGAAACAAATAAGATTTGACGACTTTATTTAAAAGCTAGTTTAGTGATGTCCCAAGTCGCTGGGGTCTGGTTTGCCGTATTGCTTCTCCCACCAGGCAACATATTCCTTCTTGCGTTGCTCACGTTTGGCAAAATACTCTGGATATTGTGCCTTCTCCAGAGGATGCCAGTAGTCGAGCACCCAATCCGGCAGGATGACCTCACGCTCGAAAGCACAGCCACCAGGACTGTTAGCAACTGTAAATAAAGGTGCTGCATGATACTAATCTTACCAAATGTGTGAGCACACTTACAGTTTCGCGGCTGGAAATGCTTTGTCTCAAAGAGTTCCTTTTGACCGCTGGCTAGCAAACGCATGCCCTCGGCCACATCCTTGTTTTTGTTCTCATCAAAACGAGCGCGCATTTGCACTGCACGATAACGGTAAACATCCCTAATTCCGCGGAAGATGTATGTAAAGGAAGATGCAGAATTTATTATATAATCAAACGGTTTACAATTGCAGCATTTCGACGAGCACTTACCGCCGATCATACCAGGCCTCCAGATTGCGCAGCGCACGCTTGTACAAGCTGCACACCTGGCGCTTGTGCGACACAATAGCCAAGGGAACTTGGGCCATGTCTAGTTGCTCAACTTGTATTAAATCTGTAATTCGCAGCTCGCAGTACAACAACAACTGTAACAGATGGTAGCTGTCACAAGTTGAGTGCTGTAAAACGACTTGCCTAAATTGTTTTCCAGCACTGTTTGCAGGGATGCCAGACTACTAGGTTCGTTATCGGATTTTATTTTGTTTTTTAAATAAATTACATATTAACAAGTATCAAGTAATTAATAACTCACAACTTAGCTCATAACATTCAATATACACTGAACAATATGCTCAGGTATTTTTAAAGGTTGTTCGGACAAATCCCCCGTCTGACTATCGTACATATATATCTCATTTAATACGCGACCGTTCTGTCCACCATCTAATGAAGAGACCAACACCATTGAGCCCTCAGACAACTCAGTTATTATTTGTTCGATGTCGTGCTCATTGACTTCCTCCCCGAAGTTGGGACCCTGCTCCGGTACTTCAGGACCAGGTGGCTCCGAAATGAAATCAACAATATATGTTGCATTGGTTTCGGTGGAATAAACCGTCTCGCTCCTGGTGACGGTGTCCATGTTACTTACACAGTTGCGGCCACCCTCCTCCAAATCGACGACCTTTTCACTTGTCATCTTGACCCTGACCTCAGCGTGTCCCTCGTCCAGCAATGAGTTAAGCTCCTGCTGCAGTTGCTCAGCCTTGGTCTCAATTATAGGATCGCTACTGATTTGTTCTGCTTCCATTTCCTTTTCTCTTTTGATCGCTGGAAATACGCGTAAAAGATGCACAGGCACGGGCTGATTCACTTCCGATATATACTCCTTCGGTCGCTTAGGATTGGGTTGCATCTTTTTAAGCACTTTTTGCTTCAACTTTTTTTTAACGCTGTGCTGTTGCTCATGCTTTTGTTGATGCTGCTGTGGCTTCTCTTGTTGCTGCTGCTGTGGCTTCTCTTGTTGCTGCTGCTGTATCTTCTCTTGTTGCTGCTGCTGTATCTTCTCTTGTTGCTGCTGCTGTATCTTCTCTTGTTGCTGCTGCTGTATCTTCTCTTGATGCTGCTGCTGTGGCTTCTCTTGTTGCTGCTGTGGCTTCTCTTGTTGCTGCAGAGGTAGCTTCTCTTGTTGCTGCTGTGGTAGCTTCTCTTGTTGCTGCTGTAGTAGCTTCTCTTGTTGCTGCTGCTGTATAATCTCCTGTAGCTTCTCCAGTTGCTTCTCCATTGGTTGTTTCTCCTGATGCTCCCCTTGAGCCTGATGACACTTCAAAGGCTGACGCTTGCGCTTGGCAGCTCCACCTTCGCCCTGGTTTTGCAGTGCAGCTCGACGTTTGGCCAGCGCGTGCTTACCCAGCTTTTCCTTTGTCACGTGCTCGTTCTCGTACACCAGATCGCCATCGGAGAGTGCGCGCGTCGCCTTGCTCTGCTGCGACTTGGCTCGCTTCTGCAAAGGAATGAGTTCAGTTTGAGTAAACATTGGACATAGGAGATAACAGACGAACCTTTCTTGGTTGTTTTGCCTTGGCTGAAACGATTTGCTGCCATTCGCGGTGCACCTCATAGCGTTCACGGTCCTCCAATTCCAGCTGATTTTTGAGCTCCTGAATATTGAAGGCCTTCGGGTAGAGCAAGGCCTTATTGATTAGCTGTCCGTTGACGCGCTCCTCCCGCTTATACTTGAGCTTAAGGTCGCGTCGCGTACGCTTGGGGAACATTTGACACATGAGCGAGAAGTCGGTGCCAATGATTTGGAGACTGCGATAAAAGCGGATGGTGTCATCCGGTGTCCAGGTGGGCGTCCGCTTGTGCCGCTTGTAGAATCCATTGTCGCCAGTTGTCTCGTCCATGAGAATAAGCGACGAGTTGGCCAAAACCTTGCGCGCCTCCACCTCGGCGGTAGTCTCAATCTCCAGAGTCTTCTCGTCGATTATCATTTCCCCATTGGCGTCCAGTTTCAATTGCGGCACAGGCATGGCTGCTGTTGTGGCAGCCGGTTCTGTCTTGGCCTCTAGCAGCTCATCCGAGGTGGGCTTCGACTCGTCCACACTGCCGATGCTGCTGCCATTCGCCTCCGCCTTAATGGTAGTCACCAGAGGTTTCTGCTCCATGGGATTGCTCTCGGGATTGTAAAAGATCATGTCAAACATTTTGAACGTGGACTTATCCGGGATGCCTTTGTTGAATCGCGTCTCAAAATCTCGCTTTACATTAATGCGCTGCTGCGCCTGGGTCAACGCCTTGTCGCTCTCTCCCTTTCGCTGCTTGCCGCCACCGCCGCCGCTGTCCGAGTAAGCCGAGCAACTGGATTCCGTGCGTATACGCCCCATGCCCGGACTCATGACACCACCTGGAAAGTACTTCGGTGAAGCCTGCACCTGCTGCGGCGTCCCGCTCACGCCACTCATTGACGAGCCGCTCAAGTAGCGTTCGCGCCTTGTGGGCGTGCCCGGCGACGGGTAGTCGCCATCGAGATCAGCCGCCAACGGTGAGCCCACGAAGCTATTGCGACGCTGCCCAAACACGGGAGTGGGCCGAACTCGCTGTCGAGCTTGCGCCTTGCTGGGCGACATGGGAAATCCGCTGGCACTCTTCTGCAAGTCCATTTGTATAACATTATCCTCCAAGTCCGAGTGGAACACATCGTCCAACTGGCCGGCGTTGCTCGCTGCCGGCATTTTAAATGCCACTTCAGATGCATCGTCCTCTGGATGCTCCTGCTTGGACGAAGGAGTGGGGTGGTTCAGTGGCTCAGCTTCAACGCGTGCCTCTGGATCGGTGTCTTCCTTGCGCGGCTTGCGCTTGATCTGCGTCAAGTTGGCAGGGGCCTTAATACGTTGCCGTCGCGAAGACATTGCGTCACTTTTCAATCAAACATACATATATTATGCATTTACTCGACGACAGTTCTTTGCGAAATGCCGTGTGAAGAATAAAGGCAACAGATGTAAATGTGCAGCGCACGAGTTTTTACCACAAAAGTGTTGTACAACGTCAAACGGAAATTAAATAAAATTGTAAACAGTATGCTGGTCAAGCAAAATATGTTTAAATTAAATCATTTTTCGAAAATTAACTTTTGAATTATTTTGGAAAAATTCTATGTTCGTTATTTTGCAATTTTGTGGCACAAAGCTAACGAATAATGTTTGGCTAAGATCCAATCTGTTTTTTATTAGTATTAATTTCCGATACTGGTAACAAGCACAATAATAAATCCATTGCTTAGGTCAGAAGTAATTCTCATCTATATAGTTTATAGGGCACTTTTGCACTGGTTCATTCAGTAATTTTCGACGAATAAGACCTTTTCCTCACTGCAAAAACACGAATCGTTTAGCTCGCTGCTGCACGGCGACCCAAGAGCAAATATTGACAAAGCAGTGAGCCGCTTCAAATTGGTGCTGCAAAATTCGAGGGTTTCCCAGCACTGATTCGAGCAACAACAACAAATACGAATTGCAGGTTGCACGTTTTGAACGTAAAATGTGGGCGCCTTGATAACAAAGCAACAACGACGGAAACTTGTATAACATAACAAACAAAATTGTCAACAATTAAAGCAAAAAGAACAAAACGAAAACAAAAAAACAATCAAAATTATACAAGTTGAAAACGAGGGTAACAAATGTGACAGGAGGTGTGTGTGTGTGTCAAAATTTGAAGCGGAGGAACAAGCAACATTACAATAACAGTACAGCCGCTGCCGCTGTCCGATTGTTATGCAAGCAGCGCTGCAGCCCCCCACCTGAGCAGTGCAGCCCAAAAGCCGCAGCCGCCGCAGCAATAACAATCAATTAAGCGGTCGCCATGCTGCTCAATCGTTTCGTTTCAGCCATAAAAAATCAATCGAGGGAAACCTTGCGCGCCTGGACCTATCAATGCGAGTCAATATTCGCCCAGCGCTCGCGCCGGCTGCAACAGTTGCTCACGTTCTATCAGACCGTCTATGGCACGCAGGGACTCAAGCAGCTCTGGCGCGTCTATTATCGCAGTCAAATACAGCCACCGCTGCGCGGCATGGTGCTCAGTGCAGTGGGCATTATGGGCTTGAATGTGAAACGGCCGACGGCCGATGGCTTCGACTGGGTCAAAGAGCGGCTGTCGCTGGCTAACTTTGATTTGTGCCAGCGAGATATTGATTTTATAAATACGCTACCTGTGAACCAGCTGTGCGAGCGCTGCAAGGCGAAGAAGATGAAGTACTGCTATTGCACGTTGGGCAACCAGCGATGCAAGAAGGGCGGCGCTGTCATGCCACCGAGCAAGGCCGAACAGAAGTCCGGGAAGGATGAGGCGAGCATAAGCAATTGTCAAAAGTCAATGGACTATGAGTCGCGTGGGCCTGTGGGCCAAATACGCATTCAGGCCCAGGAGGAACGCAACTGGGAGCCGTACTTTAGCAAGAACGAGTTCAGCATTTGGCGGCGCGAGGAGCACTCATCGCTCTACTCGTACAAGGTGTATGCGCGATTCGATGATATTACGGCCGATGATTTCTTGCATGTACAAACGGATCTGGACTATCGCCGGCAATGGGACGATACGGCGCTCAGGCTTGAACTGATTAGCGAGGATCCGGCCCCGAACAGTAATTCACATCTCATCTACTGGGAGATGCAGTGGCCGCGCCTATTTGCCAACCGGGACTACGTATATTGTCGGCGCTACTACAAAGATGATGCTAAAAAGTTGATCTTTATTTGCAGTCGCGCTGCCCAGCATAGCACATATCCAGCTATATCGGGGAAGGTGCGTGTCACCGATTACTGGAGCCTGATGGTCATTAAGCCATTTCGAGGCTTCCATGAGCCGGGATTGCACTTTGTGTTGACATATTACGACGACCCGGGCATCCCGATTCCGCAGAACATCAAATCGTGGGTTACGCAGAAACAAATGCCCGAATTCCTTACCAAAATGTATGTGGCCACCAAAAACTATGCCTGCTCCCGAGCCATCAAGATGAAGGACATGTTCAATAGCTTTACGATAATCAACGATGAGTATACGGCAAACGAGCAACGCGGCAGCTGGCTGGGCAGCCTCAGCCGTCACAGGCGCAAGGTCAAAAACGACTCCGAGGTCGATCGCTGACCACTGCGCCGAGCTGCCGTTCCTCGAGAGAGCAAATAACCAATAACAATTAGCCAATCAAACGAGGGAAACCAAAACCAAAAGAAAGCAAACTACAGCAAGAAATACCAACAGCAATACAACTTCTTATCCCATGTTGTAATTCATATTGAAGTATATACACATATATACACACACACAAAACAAAAAACAAAAAAAAAGAGAGGAAAAGAACAATATTTTGATTAATTAGGGTTCATCTAATTTATAGAACTTAACAAATTTTTTCATCATCCATGCAAATGTGCAATAAAATACCATTCGCAACTTGGAGGCATTTAAAATGTTGGATCTTCTGTGCCACACTAAAGAAATCAATTATTGCTACAAATATATACGATATATAGATAGATACATATGTGTATATATCTGTATATATATTCAATTATACATATAAATTTAAACAAATATATTCACAAGCTAAGTCCAGAATATTGTCTTAATACAAATTACTGCAAGAGAAAGTGTGCATGTGCCCGACTAGCAGATACCCACTACAAGATGATAAGCGATCTAACCTACCTATTGATAAGCAAATGCAAGCCAAAGGCCCCAATTTCAACTAATTTTTTCGCTGCCAGTTTTAAATTATTACGACTTTTATTAATATATATATATACCCTTCACGAATAGTATACTATATGTGTACTATATCGATTTGGAATACAAATCATTCAGAGAAATCAACATATTTAAGTGGATATCAACTATTAATTATAATAATTATAGAAGATATTGCTAGTCCACAGTTGGCGTATCTCTGAGAGTCAGCTGTGATCCTTGCGTTGATAAGAGATTGTCAAAATTGATTCCTTGTTGAGAACGGGTCGAAAACAAATCCATTTCAAATGGATTCTATTGATCAAATATTTACTGAAAGTTCTTTCTAATATTAATATCGGTGCCTGGGTTAATATAATTTGATAAACAATTGAAAAATCTGTGAGTTTAATTCTTGTGTGCTAGTTAGCAGTTACACATACTATATATTTCAGCTTTACTATGGAATTATACGAAGTACGCTTACAAAATACACAAAACGTTAACTGAAGGCATAGGTTAACATTAGCATAGAGCTAGAAGATTATGTAGTAGTAGTTTCTTAAAGATCTACTTTCGGCATTCCGAAACTTAGAGACTCTTGCAAAGTTGTTAAACAAAGATCAATTATATTTGAGATATTAAGGACTAGTAAATATAGGTTATTCAAATACTTTGCAAGAGTCTTAAAAGACATAAATTGTAAATAGAAAACTAATGCATATAATTTGAAGAGATTCTATAACAGGATAGTTTGGACAGATCACAGCTCGCTATGCTCCTTGGGGCTAGGTGGATTTTTCATATAGGCTATGAAATCTTCGCTGTTTCGTCCGCCATTGTAGTCTAGTTTCGTTTTGAGGTAGGAAAAGTATATGAAGGTGGGATAGCCGCGCACATTGTACTTGGCACACAGATTTACATATTTGGTGCAGTCGATGGCAACGAAGGCAACGCGCGGATCGTCCTGCATCGCATTGGCGGCAGCTGTGAATTCCGGCTTTGTGTGCTTACAGTGTCCACACCCTGAAAACCAAGAGAATAATACAAATCCCAACTGCTGCGATTGTGAATTACTTACATGGAGCATAAAACATGACCAGCGCGTGTTTCTTGCGCTTCAGGATCGAGCTGAAAGTTTCTTCGTTTGGAAATATCACCTCCGTGCTGTCCTCTTCATCCTCCCAGCTCTTCTCAGGCGGCGGAGGTGGTGGCGGCTCTTTGGGATCACGCATAAAGTCAACTATTTTGGACGCCTCGCGCACATTTACATCGAATTTGTAGACACCATAGGAAAAGTATTTCACTGTCGGATAGCCCTTGACCTTGTATTTCTCGCCAATGGCAGACTCCTTGGTGGCATCCAGGGCAGCAAGCATGCCTGGCACATTCTTCTCTTTCATCTCAAGAGCTGCCTTTTCGTATTCGGGCTTCATGTTCTTGCAGTGACCACACCAGGGTGCATAGAACATGACCAGCGCCGATTTCTCATCCTTTAGAACCGCCTCAAAGCCCTGCGTTGTCAGATGAACAATCTCGGAGTTTGTATCAGCTGACCACTCAGCTTCCTTCGGTTTGGGCGTTGGTTTCTGATTTGGATTGAGCATGAAGGCCACCAATGCATCCTTGGTGTTCTCGCCCTCGTATGTGAAGCGCATCTTTCCATTCTCGAAGTAAATTAATGTGGGAAACCCTGTGATAAAATTGTAAGCGTCATTAAATTATTTATTGTGGAATCTATTAGTATAATTACCAGTTAAATTGAAGAGCTTGCGCACAGGTGCGTTTTCCTGACGCTCCACATTCATGGCGGCCATTACATATCCACCGTGAGTCTTCAGTTCGGTGGCTGCTTTGCTGTAGTCAGGCTTCATGCGCTTGCAGAATCCGCACCAAGGCACATGGAACATAACCATCATGGGACGGATATCCTTGCGGAGGTGTTTCGTAAATGAAGCTCCGTCATTAAAGTGCAATACATCGGCACCGGCGGGATCCTCTTCCCAGGGCAAATCACCGGTGGGATCGCGCATGAAGGTGATCATGGATTCCACGGTCAGCTGACGATCGTAGTCCTTGTGATACTCGCCGTCCTTGTAGTGACGCAGTACATACGGCTTAGGCGTCACCTTGAGCTTCTTACACAGCTTCTTGCGCTCCTGATTGGAGCAATCCACGTACAGCATTGTTCCTGTGCCGCGTATCCCATCTGCAGCTTCCCGGAACACTTTCAACTCGGCTGCAGCCTCCTTGGGGCTGGATACGTAGAGCGCGAGAACATTGTTCTTGGTGCGCAGCAGCTTCTTATAATCCT